GGCCAGAAAAGGGCAGGGAAGATAGACATCTGTGTTGGGCTACAACCAGGAAGCGCTAATGGCCTCAGTCCGGGACAAGGTCAGTCTGCGAGGTCAGGCAGAAACACTGGCCCAAGGTGGCCTGATGAATGTGTCCACCTGGATCCCAGGAGCAGACCCGAGACACTGCTGGGCATCACTGGGATCCTTGGTTAGAGGGGCTGACGAGCTACGGCAATCGCTATTCAACGCGAAGAGCGGGTGCTTCATAAATGTGATTCTAGGCCCAGTGTGTTAAACATTAACTGAGTATAAAAAATTTCCAAAGAACTTTCAGGACCTAATGTGTAAAAGATACTATTATGTTCAGGGACATGGACAAAATGAGTTACTGTAAAGTTGTGATCCCAGTTCCACCCTTACAGACCAGGGCCCACATGTCCCTGAAGTCAGCGTGACTTCGAGAAATCCAGGTCTGTGATATACGTCTGAGGCATCTTCCCCTGAGAGTTGTGCTGCCGCTTGCCAAGCAGTTAGATAAACCTACCAACCTAAGCCACAGAGGGGCTTCTCGTCCACATTTCTCTATGTCTTTCATGGATTCCAATCTCCTACCAAAGAAACATTTGCTTCAAAATAATAAAGTACTTATTCATTTTAATCATCCCTTCCCAGGCCAGTGAGACAGCTCAGCAGACTTCAGCAGCTGCTTAGGCAAGCACAGGGACCGGGATTTGATCCCCAGCACTACATGCCACACCGGCCCCACCGCCAAGGTGCACTGAGCCAGCTACCCTGAGCTGGCCACTGAGACGAGGCATAGTGGTACATGCCTGTAATCCCAGCACTGGGGAGGCTAAAAACAGGAGAATCACTATGAGTCTCACTGCATAGTGACACTCTGTACCAAATACATTTAAAAAAATAAAATAAAATCTTCCCTTCCCTCGGTCTGCAAAGGCCTTTGTGTTCCTATGAAATCTTTTCCTGTTCCATCCTTTCTACTCCACTCTGCCATCAGCACTCCTAACTAAATTATTACGCAAGCCTCCAAGGACATCTCCAACCTCGTCACCCTCCAGTCCAAGCTGCAAGAAAAAGCAGATTTAATAGGTGAGTTTAAAGTCACTTCTCTTTCTGAAGGTTACACAGTGTCCAGATGCAAAGTAGAGCTCCAAACCGAGAAGGCTGGAGGAAGCTCCTTAGCCTGTGGCTCTAGTCTTCTCGTCAGTACTGACACCCTGTGCTTGTCTCCTGCGTGTGATGTGCCCCCCCCCATGTCTTTTCCTCATGGTATTTAATCTCTTCATCTCCATATTCTTCTTCCTCTGCTGTGTCCAGCCAAGTCAACACTGAAGGGCTAACTCCACGTCTCCTACAAGACAGGCTTCTCTGGAGCTCTCACCCCTTCTCTGCTCTCTGTTTCAGCAAGAGTTATAGAGTAAACTTGGGGACAGATTCTGGTCCCTCCTGTGGACACATCTCCATGCCCCGGTTGGAGAGCAAAGCCGTGTCCCACACTTCTTGTCCTGTGACTAGGCCAGAGAATTGGGACAGTTGGGGACTGGTCATGCCCAGGCCACTGCCAAATCAACAACTCTGACGAACTCGGCTAAAGTCACCCTCTGTAGAGACCCTGAGGGATGACCCAGTTGAACAAATCATTTAATACACAGATTAATAGCAAGACAGGATGCTGTATGAATACCTTCTATTTTTTTCACTGGCCTTCAATCGGAAGTCAAAGCTGGATTCTATAGATGTCTGTTATAACCCGGCGGCAGCACTGCTCCCGTAGTTTCGTTTGTGATTTGGTCAGTTCCTCTATTTAGTTTCAATAACCTTATGAGTCTACTTCAAGTTTCAGAACTACAAATAGCTAGGAGGTCAGCACGTACCAACTCTACTCCGTAGTTTCCTCATTAGCAGGACAGACACAACACAAGCTCATCCTCACATTATGCATGGCCATTCTACGTGCCTTTCCCCTGTGAGCATAAGAATTATTTTACTCTAGCAAAATGTCAAAGCAGAGACCCCAAAAGTGAAGTGATGGGTGTACAGTCTTTCATTTTAGAATGACAATAATTGGCTCTGAACCAGTCAGTCTCAGTGGCCAAATTCCATAGAAATGAAGCAAAAATATTAGCCACATCAAGTCCTAATGTGGTTCCAGGTAGAAGGACCACATACAGGTTTTAGTTCTTGAGAGACTGTAAGCCCCCCAAAAGCAGATACTATTATTTCCAGGTACCATAAATAAATAAACAAACAAACAAATAAACAGTGCATGGGTATTGCCACTAAAGTCCCCATAGAGTCTATGGAATCACAACCAAAAAAAACCAAACATTCATTTCACAAATGATAATTTTGTGGTTGAACTTCAAAGAACTTTCGCTTGATGCAGACACAGCCTGCAATAGCTCATTTCAGAGAATGATAGAAAGCTTACTTCAAGAGCTAGTGGCAGGAATCTCAGGCAACATTTAGGGAAGAATTTTAACTGGCTTGCAATTCTTTTGAATAAGAGAGACACTTGGCTGACACTAGCAGCCTGGAGCCACAGAGGTGCCAGGCAGGGTCTGCAGATTTTTTACCCACAACGTCAAAAAGGTCCAACAACTTTTCAATGCCTTGGTCTTCTAATTTGTAAGATGGGAATTGAGCGAGGTTACTGTTTATCCCTCACAGAAAGCAAACTTCTCTGGAAATGTAAAATTCACACGAAAGTGATGTTTAATAATTCAAGATGAGGTTTGGAAGAACCTCAACAGCCTCTATCCCTCTGTGCTCAGACATGGCGCAAGAGCGTGGTGCCAAGGTCCATTAGCGCCAGAAAGGAGCAGCAGTGGACACCCTCTGGCTGAATCAATGGAATTAGATGCTGAACAGGAAGGTAGGAAGCTAAAGTGGTGAGACTTTGGCTACCAATCAAGCAGCAGTATCAAATTATAACTTTCCTGAAACTTCCTCTTTAGAGTTGTCTTTGTCCTTATTTGAATTAAAGAATTAACTTTCACGTGCAATGTTGCTGTGATTTTAAGAATACTAGAAAACGCTTGTGATCATTCTCAGCTTTCTATGGCTTTGGGTTACACTGAAGTCCCTCTGGTTCCGCAGATATGGGCAGAATCTGAAAATGTTGATATTTGGGATTAATTTGGGAAGAGGAGCTACAGAGGGTAGTAACATTTTCTTGTTTTAGAAAATTTCTAAGTTTGGATTCAAAGAAACAGCAATAAAAGTCAGAAAAAAAAAAAATTCAGAAACCAGACCAAAATGCTTTCACTGCACCGACTCACATATTCATTGAGAGGAGAAGGAGAGGAGGATGGGAAAGAAGAGGGGAGAGGAGAAGGCAGAGGAGGAGAAAGAGGAGGAGGGAAGGGGGAGGGGGAGGAGGAGAGATCATAAATAGACCTGCTGGGCAATGCTAGAGACATCCCTCCTCCACGGACTCCCACAGCGGGGTAACAGGAAGCTCCCATTAAGCACGAGCCATGTCTAGAGGTACAGCACCCTAAATGCGTGCCGCTTACCACGTGTGCGTCCCGAGCATTTGACAGGGAGCTCACTGCCTCA